TTTTCTTCTATGATTTTCTGGAAAATATCTCCTTTGTCTTTGACCTGAGTCTATGCTCTTTTCTCTATTCTTACTCCTAGATTTTCATTTTTTCTTTCTTTTTTTTTTAATGGCTTTTTGTTTTTGTTTTTGTTTTTTTGGTTTTTCGAGACAGGGTTTCTCTGTGTAGCCCTGGCTTTCCTGGAACTCACTTTGTAGACCAGGCTAGCCTCGAACTCTCGAACTCAGAGATCCGCCTGCCTCTGCCTCCCAAGTGCTGGGATTAAAGGTGTGCGCCACCACCGCCCGGCTGATTTTCATTTTTTCATTGTGTATCTGATTTCCTAGATGATTTGTGCAGGGAAGATTTTTAGATTTACCATTTTATTTGCATGGAGTGTTCATTTCTTCTATTGTGTCTACAATGCCCTGGGTTCTCTCTAATTTCTCCTGTATTCTGTTGGTGGGGCTTGCCACTGAGGTTCTTGTTTGAGTTCCTAAGCTTTTTCTTTCCAGATGTATCTTAGTTTCAGATTTCTTTATTGATTTATTTGTGCTTTCAGGTTTCATCCATTTTCTTCTACTGTTTGTGTTTTCATAGATTTCTTTAACTCTTATTGTGTTTTCACACTGCCATTCAGGCATCTGCCTTTGGGAAGACTACACTTGTAAGTGCCAGGATCTGCTTTTGTCTTTGTTGGGTGGGATTTTTGTTATTTGGTTTCTGTTGCCCTCTTTGGTTCTTTAAGGAGAGTGTGACAGCTATATGTTGTTTGTGAGGAAATTCTGTGGACTCCTGATAGGTGTGACCACTGGGAGTTCCAGGTAAAGTGTGTTTCTAGGTGTTGAGAACTGACACTTAGGAATGGGGATGGGTGTCGATGGGTCCATAGGAGGAAAGCTGGCGTCCCCTAGGATCTTCTTAGTCCCCTTGGAATGGGGACAGGGTGAGGGGAGGACACAGCAAGTGATCTGCTGCAGAGCTGGAGATGAGACTGACGATTGGACTTGGAGGGATGGAGGGAGAGGTGGAGAGCTGCAGTTAGAGTACCTGTGGACCAGAGTGCTCTTTGGGTTCCCTGATGGAGTTGGGGGCTAGAGTAATGCAACCAGTGGAGGGAAGGGAGTTGTGTGATGGCCTGGAGATGGGGGCAGGAATGACGAGGAGGCTAATCAGGTGGTCTGCCACAGAGCAGGATGAGACAGGATGCATAGGTAACGATTTGCGGTTAGCCTAGCTGTTTCCTTGGCTGGATATCTTTAGTCTTCTTAAAAATTCTAATCAATTCTGCCTTCTTTCTTTATTTCTTCTTTCATTCATTTGTTCCTTCCTTCCTTCCTTCCTTTCTTTCTTTCTTTCTCTCTTTTCTTTCAGCTTGTTTGTTTTTCTCACACAGAGTCTCAGTATGTAGTCCAAGCTGGTCTGGAACTCATGATACAGCTCACACTGGCTTCTTTTTTTTCTGCGATTATAATTATGTACCACCACTACCACCACCACAGATTTTTACCTTCTTTCTTTTTAAAAAAAATTCCAAGGCCAGGCCAGTTCTCTCTCTCCCCCTTCCTTCTGCCCCCTTAAAGATTTATTTATTTTATGTATGTGAGTACACTGTCGCTCTCTTCAGACATGCCAGAAGAGGGCATCGGAGCCTACTAAAGATGGTTGTGAGCCACCATGTGGTTGCTGGGAATTGAACTTGGGATCACTGGAAGAACAGTCAGTACTCTTAACTGCTGAGCCATCTCTCCAGCCCCAAGCCAGTTCTCTTATAGCCTAATAGATATTATGTATTTGTGTGGTATAGTTTTTTTCCCCTCAGTATTTGGTTCAAAAACCTTTACCAAAGTGTGTGTATTAAGATAAAGTGGCAAGTTGTGGGTACCTTTGGCAGGTCTGTGCCAAGGTATGTGCCTAAGAAATTATGCCACACACCTGATCTAGTGTAAGAGGCTCACTGGGGGTTGGGGATGTAGTGTGATTTATCTTGTGCTCCTGACCCTTTAAAGGATTCCCACTTGCTAGTCACCTGGCCTTTTAAGAACTCTTAGCTGTTAGACTGCTTGACCCTTATGACCTTCAGTGCAGGATCTAAAAAGAGGCTGAGGGAGGAGATTGAGCAGAGTGAGAGGAGAAGGCAGTTGGGACAGAAGATATTGTTAGGAGACAGTAGAGTCAGGAGAAGCTGAGCTGTGCAGAGAGGCTAGAACACTTGTTACAGTTTGGAGCTGCTGGCATTGGGAAAACTGGGAGAGGGACTGTTTAAGCACACTGTTGAGGAACTGAGGGAGGAATGGTTGGGAGAAACTTTTGAAGGTATTGGGCTGGAAACTGAGAGGAATGGGTGGGAAAGGAATTAGATTCAGGGATCTCTTTCTCTTTCTGTCTCTCTCTCTCTCCCTCCCTCCCTCCCTCCCTCCTTCTCCCTCTATCCTACTTTCTCTCCTGTCTAGTATTAGGGAGTGAAACCAGGGGGCTAGATGGTGGGAAAAAGAAGAACCCACAAAGTAGCAAAGACCAGCTACATGGGTGCAATTGAAAGGCTGTCTCAGAGTTGGGATGAGAGAGAGAGACACAGAGAGAGAGACAGAGAGAGAGAGAGACAGAGAGAGAGACAGACAGAGAGAGAGAGAGAGAGAGAGACAGAGAGAGAGACAGAGAGGAGGACAGGAAAAGAAATGAACAAGACAGCGATTAAGAGAGAATGGGAGAGAGGAAGGGAGACAGTGGGAGGGGGTAGGGAGAGACGTAGAGAGATAGATCTGTAGTAGCTATGGTCATTTCTGGGCTGCCTCTGGCACACCTGGTGGCCGTGGTTGATGAATGACATAAGCTGCTGCTGCTAAATCCCCGAGGGCTGTCTGGTGCAGACGTCTGATTGCTGACAGTGTATTTTAAGGAGTATGCAAATAACCACATTCGATTATTTCAGTGCAGTTATAACCTCATGAAGTAGACGCACTTTTGGTTACTTTATGGGCTCCTTTTTCTACCACCCTTCACCCTTCTAACCTCCCAACACCAGGTAGAAGACAGAACGCTAGACGTGAAAGCAGCATTGATATTGTTAGACTACTTCCTGCTGACTAGGGGCGTTGAGTTTCTTGAGAGAAGTTTGATCTTGGGCATGAGGCTATCCGATTTCTTCTCGTTTCTAGTCTGTGCATGACCACATGACAAAACGCAACAGATCTCAAGAACAGCGACCAGCAGGAGAAGCAGCAGCTACAGCCCCTCTCTTGGCTCTAGCACTTATATATGCTCTCAAGAGTCCCCAGAGTTCCAAATGCCATAACCTTGCTGAAACTGTGTATAGCTGGCAAAATCAAGCCCCTGCCAGAGCATGAGGCAAGTCATAGACTCCTGCTGTGGACAATCTGAAGTAGTCCCATATCCCACCCCTGGGATTAAAACCATGGTTGCATACACCTAATCCTAGCACTTGGAACACAGAGGCAGGTGGATCTCAGTGAGTTGGAGGCGAGCCTGGTCTACAAAGTGACTTCAGGACAACCAGGGCTGTTATACAGAAAACAAACAAACAAAAACATATTCCCATATCATTTGTATATTTTTAAGGAAACCAGAATTCTAACTACAGACATGTCTTCGCATTTCTAATGTGTTCTACTGTAAAGTGTATTGTCTTACATAAACTTTCTTTATTGCTGCTCTCTTTGCTCTTGTTCAGCTTCTCAGATATTACTTTAGAGCCTGGCCATTCATGTAATGGCTTTTATATTACAGGAAAATGTGTGTATGTGTGCTACCGGGAACTAACATATTCTTGCTTTCTCCTTGTCTTTCAGATTTGGAGATAGATTATAATGCTGGAAGCATATCTCCAGAAAACCCTATTAATGAAAAATTTCCCAAACAGAGCATAAAGCAATTAGGTAGAATTCTTGATCTCAAGGGCTCCAGGTTTAGTAATGGTCCTAACTGTAGTATATTCAATGGACTACAGGGTTATCAAGAAGGAGATGCTGATCAAACGGTTACTAACAAGGAAGAAATGCCTGCTTATACCAGCCAGACTCTTGCTCACAACATAGAAAAGGCATATGAATGTAAAGAGTGTGGGAAGTGCTTTGGCTGTAGGTCAACTCTTACTCAGCATCAGAGTAGTCATACTGGAGAGAAGCCCTATGAATGTAAGGAATGTGGGAAGGCCTTCAGACTCCCCCAACATCTTACAAGACATCAGAAGTCTCACAGTGGTGAGAGACCTTTCAAGTGTAATGAATGTGGAAAGGCTTTTCATCTTCCTAACCTACTCAAGTACCATAAAATCATTCATACAGGTGAAAAACCATTTGAATGCAAAGAATGTGGGAAGTCCTTCAACCGGGTCTCCAACCTTGTTGCACATAGGATTAGTCATGCTGATGTGAGACCATATGAATGTAATGAGTGTGGGAAAGCCTTTAAACGTCGCTCAAACCTTGTGCAACATGAGAAAATTCATTCTGGTGAGAGACCCTTTCAGTGTAAGGACTGTGGAAAGGGCTTCATTGATCTGTCACAGCTCACTAGGCACCAGAACATTCATACTGGAGAGAAGGCATTTGAATGCCATGAATGTGGGAAGGCCTTCAGACTCCCCCAACAGCTTACAAAACATCAGAAGTCTCACAGTGGTGAGAAACCTTTCAAATATAATGAATGTGGAAAGGCCTTTCATCTTCCTAACCTACTCAAGTACCATAAAACCATTCATACAGGTGAAAAACCATTTGAATGCAAAGAATGTTGGAAGTCCTTCAACCGGGTCTCCAACCTTGTTGAACATAGACTTACTCAAAAGCCTCATGCAACATCAGAAAATTCATTCTGGTGAGAGACCCTTTCAGTGCAAGGAATGTGGAAAGGGCTTCACTGTTCTGCCACAGCTCACTTGGCACCAGAGCATCCATACTGGAGAGAAGTCATTTGAATGTAACGAATGTGGCAAGAAATTCAGAACTGCCACACACCTTGTTATGCACCAGAGTATTCATACAGGTGAGAAACCCTTTGAATGTAATGTATGTGGCAAGGCTTTTCGGCTTCAGGTATACCTTTCTGAGCATCAGAAAACTCACACTTGACTTTCAAGTGTAAGTTCTGTGGGTCAGCCTTCAGAAGTAAGTACCAACTTAGTAAACATCACACAATTCATACTGATGAAAAACCCTATCAGTGCAAGGAATGTGGGAAATGCTTTCGTCAAAGGTCCAATTTTACTGATCACCAGAGTATTCGCACTGGAAACAAACCCTTTGAATGTAAACAATGTGGGAGGTTCTTTAGACTTAATACACTTCTCATTCGTCATCAGAAATCTCACAGTGGCCAGGCAGTGGTGGCGCACACCTTTAATCCCAGCACTTGGGAGGCAGAGGCAGGTGGATTTCTGAGTTCGAGGCTAGCCTGGTCTACAGAGAGAGTTCCAGGACAGCCAGGGCTACACAGAGAAACCCTGTCTCGAAAAACCAAAAAAAAAAAAAAAAAAAAAAGAAATCTCACAGTGGTGAGAGACCTTATGAGTGTAAAGAATGTGGAAAGGCTTTTCATCTTGCCAGCCAGCTTAATTACCATAAAACTGTTCATACAAATCAAAAACCATTTGCTTGTGAAGAATGTGGGAAGTCCTTCAAGCGGGAATCCAGTCTCATTCAACGCAGTGTTATTCATGGTGGTGTGAAATCATATGAATGTAATGAATGTGGGAAAGCTTTTATTCACCGCTCAAGCCTATTACACCGTCAGAAAATTAATTCTGATGAGAAACCTTTTAAGTGTCAGGAATGTGGAAAGGCCTTCGTAGTTCTGGCATACCTCACTCGGCACCAGAGCATCCATACTGGAGAGAAGCCATTTGAATGTTAGCAGTGTGGATCAAGCTTCAGATTTAAGTCTCAACTCAACAAACATCAGAGAATTCATACTGATGTGAAACTCTTTCAATGTGTGGAAGGTGAAACGGACTTTGTTTATGGACCAGACCTTAGCATTCATCAGGGCATCCATACTGGTGAGAATCCCTTTCAATGTGATGAATATGGGGAATCCTTTCAACATCATAACCAATTTTCTCGGACATATTAGAATTCATACTGTAGGAAACCTTATCCCTGTAAAGAATGTGGAAAGTACTTCAATTTGAGTTCAGGAATTCATTCTAGTGTCAAACACTATGAATGCAAGGAATGTAGAAACATTTATAGAATTCAAGCTCTTCAGATAATCCATTAAGGTTTGAAACCATGTGAATTCGAAGAATCAGGAAAAGTCTTTATTGTAAGTGGTGAGTTTACACAACATCAGAAAGTCAGTAATAGCCAGGAGTCTTATGCATGTAAGAAAGGTGGACAAGCCATTGTATGAAAATTTTACTGAACATCAGGGTGCTCATATTGGGAATACTATGACTAAAAATAATGTGGGAACTTTACTCTGGAGATGGTGAACATTGGTATCTTCATATACTGTTAATGTCAAGAAACTCTTTGCAATGAGAATATGGGAAGTTGGTTGTTCAGAGAAGATACTTTCTTGAGAATTTTATGTCAGAAATCCAGGGTAGCGATCATGTTCTTTATTTACTCTCCTCTTGTTAGTTGTATAAATTTTATTCCTCAATCAATAGTCATCCAGGATAATCAATTTAGGAAGAAGAGTTATTGGAACTGAGATGTTATCATTGTCATCATTAACAGTCCATGGGTCCTGTGATATTAGACTGGATGTTTCATTTTTTCATAATTTATTAATGGCCAGCACAGTACCAGCCATGTTATGTCAACAGAGCTATAAATAGATAATTTAAGAGTATTTGATTAGGGGCTGGAGAGATGGCTCAGCGGTTAAGAGCACTGACTGTTCTTCCAGAGGTCCTGAGTTCAAATCCCAGCAACCACATGGTGGCTCAAAACCATCCGTAATGAGATTGGATGACCTCTTCTGGTGTATCTGAAGACAGCTACAGTGTACTATTCATAAATAAAATAAATAAATAAATCTTTTTTTTAAAAAAAAGAGTATTTGATTAGTTCCTGCAAATATTGAAAATAGTAAGGGAGGCTTCTTGTGCTACTGCCACCGTCTTTCTGTCCAGGTGAGGTCCTGCTGGTGTACTCTCCAGCAGGGCTAGAGCTCCTATGTTCCCTTCACTGCCATGCCAGCCCCACACAGCGACAGTCCACCCCCCCAACCCCAGTTCAGCCACCACAACACCCATTTACTTGGTAGAAACAAAACTTTTGAAGCTTATAGTTAACCAGTCAGATTTATATGTCAGTAAATTCTCAGTGCACAAGATACCCACACAATAATTTCAAGGCCAATTGAAAATGGTACAAGCTGCCCACCTAGAATAGACAGGTTACTGTAACAGCCCGATCTGCTACTTTGTAATGGCCCGTTCTGCTGGTCCGGTCCACAGGTCAGGGTCTAGCAAGAGAGAGAGTGGGGATGGAGGGGCGAGAGACGCAAAAGATGGAGACAAGACAGAGTCTGATCAAGTCTCATTTATTGAAAGGAAATCCTGGGTATTTATACCCTTTACCACATGCCTTGCCCTCGTGGACAAGCTCAGCTGAAGGCATTATGTCATGTGCCTAGCAGCCTGGAGACCACGTGCACCTCACTGCTGGTGGCACTAAACAGCAAAACAAGATGTTTATCAGAGTGCTCAGCTGTTGTGGGCTGTTGAAAACAAGTCTCTTGTCAGGGTATATGGCTCAAGATAGCTGTAAAGATGATAGCCACTTTTGGCTAAGAGTCGGCTCCCAACAGGTCCCTCCCCCCCCTTTTTTTTCAAAAGGGAAGGCTGGGAAAACTTACGGAAACTGTGCCTGTCTTAGGTTGGAACAAAGGACTCCAGCCTCCCTTTCCTGTCTCTGGATACTCAACAGCCATTGGTTGAGCTCCTGTCTTAGGATGGTGAGGCCTTCCAGTTAGGGGCAAGGATCTTGAGGTGTTCTCTTACCCGTCATCCGGCTTAGCATGTAAGTTAGGGGTTAATCCTCATCAGTCTTGATGACAGAGGTTTTAGAGTCCCCTACTTCCAGCCTGTAATAATGGACCTGTATGGGTTTCATTTGAATGGCGTCTATCTATTGTTGTACGAAAGCCATCAGTTTGTTGAACAGCATTGACCCGACAGCCAAGAGACTTAACAATGCCTGAATGGTTGGTATAAACCATTCTGCCTCAGAGCAACATTCTTTTTAAGGGTAGCACACAACTCCCTCTGTTGGAGGAGTAAAAAGTATAAGCCTCTTCTATTCTGTAGCACTATTTTCTAAATCTATATAAGTACAGAACTGATCATAGCTTTGACCTTAACAAAACAAGTAAAAAAAAATCCCTGTCCCTGCCCCAATCAATCTCAAACCCCAAAAAACAACTGTAGTAACTGTGGTAATGGGTTCTCCCTTGGGTTTAAACAATGTCCCCCACTAAATCGTACATCAGGGAACCAAGTGTCTAATAGAGTCATCCTGGAGGCGCAGGTGGTGGTGTTCTTCCACACTGAGAACTTCCCAAGTCAGGTATACTGGTTGACCTGCTCCATTTTGAAGACAATTGTGAAGCATCTTCATGTTTCCTGCAAAGAAAAAATATGCTTCCCAGGAAATTTCTCCTCCCTGGATTTGTTACTGTTATCTATTTGTTTAACCAGTCTCTGGCAGCCAGCCTGCGGCATCTGCCCTTGGGGAATATATGCAGATAGACCCTCTTCCCCAGATAAGTACTGGATCTGGCCCATTCCAGGTTCCAGTTAATGGGTCTTTCCAGAGGACTGTTGCAAAATTCTTTCTGGTATTAGGATGCCAGAAACTATCTGCAGCAGATTTTCCTTCAGAATCCAAAGTTAAAAAATTTAAAGTAAAGAGGGTGTGGTAAAGGATATTTCTGGGGGATCCCTTGGTAGGGTACCGTTCCCCATTTTTAATTTTTTCGAATTGACATTTAATAGTTTGATGTGCCCTTTCTACCATACCTTGGCCCTGTGGATTATATGGAATACCCATTTTATGTAGTATTCCCAATTTTTCACAAAATTGGTGGAAACTGGAGCTTGTGTAACCTGGGCCATTGTCAGTCTTGATCTGTTTTGGCACACCCAATACAGCAATTGTAGCAAGCATATGATTGATCACATGTTTGCTTGCTTCTCCAGTTTGTAATGTCGCATAAATGAAACCACTGTATGTATCTACACATACATGTATATATTTTTGATTTCCAAATTCATAATGATGGGTAACATCCATTTGCCAGAGACTGTTTGGTATCAGTCTCTTTGGATTTACGCCTGAATGAGGAACTAGTAAAAGTGTAACACATGATCAACATTGTTTGACAATTTGTCTAGCTTGTTCTCTGGCAATTTTAAACATGATCTTTAAAGTTTGAGAATTAAGGTGATGTAACTCATGAGCCTTTATGGCCTGATTCAAGTTAGATGGCAGATCTGATAAAGTCACTGCAAAAACTGTTTTAAGATCATCAAAGCACTGGAGTACCTGTTTTCCATCTTTTCCTGCTATTAAAATATCATCCATGAAATGAATCATGTAGATTTGCTACTACATGGTTCTAACACCCTCTATGGCAGAAGCCACAAACTCTTGGCACAAGGTAGGACTGTTAGCCATACCCTGAGGCAAGACCTTCCATTGATACCTCTTCTTAGGTTCGCTAAAGTTTGTAGCAGGAACACTAAAAGCAAAGTGTTTTCTGTCTTCAGGATGCAAGGGGATAGTAAAGAAACAGTCTTTTAAATCTATAACTATTTTATAATAGCCTAAAAGTGTGGCCACTGGTGTGGGCAGCCCAGGTTGTAAGGCTCCCATCAGAATCATGGTTGCATTAACAGCCCTCAAGTCTTGCAACAATCTCCACTTTCCTGACTTTTTCCTAATGACAAATATTGGGGTATTCCAGGGAGAGTTACTCTCTTCTAAATGTCCTGCCTGTAATTGCTCCTGCACTAGCAATTGAGCAGCTTGTAATTTTTTGGTGGTTAGGGACCACTGATCCACCCAGAGGGGCAAGTCCCCCTTCCAGGTGATGGGATCAGCACAACGCCCTAGGGGTGCAGCTGAATCAATTGCCCCCATCAAAAATACCCCAAGCCTCTTCTTCCAGTGTTACCATGGACCTTGATGGGATGAGTAATCCCATCTTCACTTTTTCCTAATCCTTTCCCTGGAGAAAATCCAGAGTTTATCATTTGAGCCGTGATTACTTCATTAGGGCTGCACATAATCAATCCCAACTGGGGTAATAGATCTCTGCCCCAGAGATTAATGGGAAGGCCCGGGATGACATAGGGCTGTATATTGTCTGTATTCCCTTCTTTATCTTTCCACGTCAGCACCTTAGAGCTTTGCTGTGGATTTTGACTTTGGCCAATATATCTTAATTGGTTAAGGTTGGGGTCAGAGGCCAGGTGGTGGGCCGATCACTTTGTTTTATGATAATCACATCAGCCCCTGTATCAACCAAGCCTCGGAATGCCTTCCCATCAAGCCATATTGTCATCATAGGTTTTTGTTTAACTATAGGTTGTACTCAGTATGCATCAGAGGAACTGAAGCCTTGATCCCCTCTCTTAGGACTCTTATATTTGTGATTAGTAGGAATCAATGGAAGTAACAATAGTTGAGCTATCCTCCTTCCTGTAGGAACGGTGACTATATTCTGTATTGCCTTGGCCATTACCTTAATCTCACCTTGATAATCATTGTCTATAACTCCAGGAAAAATTTGTAGTCCCTGTATAGTAGCACTGCTTCTTCCTACTATCAGGCCAAACACATTTGGATAGAGCAGTCTGAACACTCAGGTGAGTAGGGCCTGAGGTCCCATTTCTGGGGTTAATACTGTGTGGGTGGCAGAACTGAGGTCCAGTCCTGCACTTCCTGGTGTTGCTTGACTAAGTTCTGAAAGGGGTTGTTGTTTGCTGGCATGAAACTGACTGCCCCATAAGCCTGTTTTGGCTTGTATTGGTTCGGGGCCTGGGACTGGCCCCTGTTCCCATTTCCCTGATTATGGGAAAGGGTGTTACCTTGTGCATCTGTCTTGGACCTACATTCACTAGCCCAATGCCGTCCACGTTTGCAACGTGGGCATAGTCCAGGCTGTTTTCTGGGCTGTCTCTGGGTTAACTCATTTTCTGCTTTGCAATATTTTGCAAAGTGTCCAGGCTTGTCACATTTAAAACAGGCCTTTTTGTCTCTACTTGCCAAAAAAATCTCTTACTGATTGTCCTTGCATGGCGGCTGCCATAGCTAAGCCCTCTTGGTAGGAGGGCCCTATGTCAGAACAGAGTCTGATATACCCAGTAATGTCTGTCTTTCCTATAGGGTCTAATGGCCGTTTGGCAGGCAGGATTGGCATTTTCATATGTAAGTTGTTTCACATAATCTACACCTGCCTCTGAATTACCAAATATTCTCCCTGCTGTTGTCATTAATTGATGAACAAAATCAGAAAATCGTTCATCAGGCCCTTGTCTGACTGAGGTCAAAGATGCACCAGGGTGTCCCTTTACCGGGAGTTTTCGCCAAGCCTTCATGGCTGCATTTTTAATTTGAGCGAATAAGCCTGGGTCATATTGCATCTGGTTGTCACTAGAAGCAAATTGCCCTTCTCCTACTAAAGCATCAAAGGACCAACCATTACCTGCCTGACTGTTTTCTCCTAGCTGTCTCTTTACAATTCTCATGATACTCTGATTTCCAAATAAGATGGTCACCACTGCTAAGAACTGCTCTCACTAGAGTATCCCAATCACCAGGAGTCAGCCACTCCTCTGCAACAGATTCTAAGATTGCAAGAGTAAAGGGAGCAGTGGCACTGTATTGTGACACTGAAGTTTTTAATTCTTTAATAATTTGAAAGTTAAACCCT